GTGACATTTGCACGGTCACATCTGCACGTGCACGGTGACATTTGCACGGTCACATCTGCACGAGCACAGTGACATTTGCACGGTCACATCTGCACGTGCACGGTGACATTTGCACGGTCACATCTGCACGAGCACAGTGACATTTGCACGGTCACATCTGCACGAGCACAGTGACATTTGCACGTGCAAGGTACCATTTGCACCTGGACAGTGGCTTTTGCACGTGCAAGGCACCCTTCACACGAGCACAGTAACAGTGTCACACATACGCAGTGACTTCTGCACGTGTGTGGTGGCACTTGCACAAGCACAGTGACATCTGCACGTGCCAGGCACTGTGCCCAGTGGCATTTCACAAGTGCCCAGTGGCATTTGCACACCCCAGGCACCTCATGCTCAGCGCTGGCAGTGCTGGCACGTGCACAGTGACATCTGCACAGTGATATCTGCACAGTGACATCTGCACGAGCACTGTGACATTTCAGTGACGTTCCCGCACTCCCAGCAGCATTTGCACACCCAGTGCCCCTCTCCCAGCTCAACCCTCGCCCCCCCAGCACCCTGTGAGCTGCACAAGACCCCTCCCCTCGTGGCCCCATCTCCTAATTGCCCCCTAATTACCTCGACCTAATGAAGGGGGCGTGTCCCAGCGTGTCCCACCCACTTTGCTGCCCTTGCCTTCCCCCCTCCCAACCTCCCCAAGATCCCTCCCGGGGCAGCAGATTGCCTCAACCCAAAGGATTTTTAAAGCAAAATAAATCACTGAGGACACAACAAGAACTAAGTTTAGGGACAAATTAACCTGTTGAGTTAATTTTTTTTCCCCATCTTGGCGTGGTTTCTGGCTCCCCACACATGTGACGAGCTGGGCAGCGGGGTCAGTCCTCAGCCAAGGGACATTTGGGAGGCATTTTGGGACCCAGCCCCATCGCGTTCCGCTCAAAGAGGGGGTTTTATCCACCGAGGCTCCAGCTGCCATCCCAAATCCCACAGCGGGTTTGGGACAGGGCAGGGAACGCTGCTAATTATAGGGAAGGAACCGTGTATTTACAGAGGCAGCTCCCAGCACCAAACCGCCGGCGGCTGCTTTTGCTCCGCTGAGTCTCTCTGTTCTCCTTCTCTCCTCTTTCCCGGGCGCTGCTCTCCACAAAAAAAACATAAAAAGGGGGGATGAATTAAAAATAAATCCCCCTCCAGGCGATCTGCAAGAGGCACTTTAGCAGAGGAGGACGAGGAGGGCGAGGAGGGGCAGGAGCAGGGGGGCGGCGGGGCGGGCGCCGGCGTTGCAGTGGCCGCGGTTGGAGCCGATGCAGGCGGCGTAGGCCATGGCGTGGGGGATGTAGTTCTGCTCGTGGACCCCGTGGAGCAGGTGGGCCATGGGGCCCTGGGCGAACACGGCCACGTCCTCGCCGCCGTGGGTCTCCTGCCGCAGCGGCACGGCCGACTGCGCCTGGTAGTCAGCATGTGCTGGGGGAAAAGTTAGAACAATTAAACCAAAAAGTAGAACGATTTAAAAAAAAAAAAAAAAAAGAACAATATAGGCAAGCTGGGACAATTTTAAGGGGTTTTGGCCCAAAGCAGACTCACCAAAATCCACGGCGGAGACGTTTTCTCGCTCGCCCGCCACGATTTTGTAGCCGGGGCCGTTGCCGTAGAGGATGGAGGTGAAGGGCTTGCGGTCCACGTCGCTCTGCATGGGGGCCAGACCTGGCGGTGGGGGCACAGTCAGCGGGGTGGGACGTCCCCACGGTGTCCCCGAGGTGCCCCCCGGGTGCCCCGGCCCCGCGCTCACCGAAGATGGGGTTCCCGCGGGGGGTGTAGCCGCCGAAGGTGAAGACGTGCGAGTGGTCGGCGGTGACGACGCTCAGGGTGTCCTGTGCCGACGTGAGGCGCGTGGCCAGGCCGATGGCCCGGTCCAGCTCCACGGCCTCGTGCAGCGCCTGCTTCGCCTTCCCCTCGTGGTGCCCGTGGTCGATGCGGCCGCCTGAGGGACCCGGCACCGCTCGGCATCACCCCCGGAGCGTCCAGCCCCCCCACGCTCCTCCTCCCAGCTTTGCACCCCCCTTACACCCACTCTTGCATCCCCCCAATGCGTGTTTATCGCCCTTTGCACCCCAATCACCCCCTTTATCCCCCCCTTTTTACATTCCCCATCCTCCCCTTTTGCACCCCCATTCCCATTCCCCTCCTTTTTTCATCCCCATTATCCCCTCGCTTTGCATCCCACGTCACCCCCATATCCACCTTTCCACATTTCCCCATATCCCCTTTATCCCACCTTCATGCATCCCCCATCACCCCTTTATCCTCCATCCCTGTTCTCCCTCTTTGTTGCACTTCCATCTCCCCATTATCCCCACTTTTGGTACCCCATCACCTCCTTTGCCATCCTGTTGCCTTTTCTATTCCTCACTTTTTACACCTCCCCTTTACTCAATCCTCCTCTTTTTGCACCTCCCCTTTTGCACCCCATCACCCCCTTTATTCCCCCTCTTTGTACCTCTACCACCCCATTTACCCATCCCCCTCTTTTTGCATATCCCCTTTTGCAGCCCCCATTATCCCCTTTAATCCCCCTTTCTGCACCCCCATCACCCCCTTATCCTCCTTTTGCACCCCCTTTTGTCCAGTCCTTCCCTATTTGCACCCCTCTTTTTGCACC